GATGAAATGTTCTGAATATATCTGTGATGTCCATGTGGTCCAATGTGTCATTTAAGGCCTTTATTTCCTTGTTGATCTTTTGCTTGGATGATCTGTCCATTTCAGTGAGGGGAGTGTTAAAGTCCCCTACTATTATTGTATTATTGTTGATGTGTTTCTTTGATTTTGTTATTAATTGGTTTATATAGTTGGCTGCTCCCACGTTAGGGGCACAGATATTTAAAATTGTTAGATCTGGGCGCCTGGGTGGCTCAGTGGGTTAAGCCGCTGCCTTCGGCTCAGGTCATGATCTCAGGGTCCTGGGATCGAGTCCCGCATCGGGCTCTCTGCTCAGCAGGGAGCCTGCTTCCCTTCCTCTCTCTCTGCCTGCCTCTCTGCCTACTACTTGTGATCTCTCTCTGTCAAATAAATAAATAAAATCTTAAAAAAAAAATTGTTAGATCTTCTTGTTGGACAGATCCTTTGAGTATGATATAGTGTCCTTCCTCATCTCTTATTATAGTCTTTGGCTTAAAATCTAATTGATCTGATGTAAGGATTGCCACTCCTGCTTTCTTCTGATGTCCATTAGCATGGTAAATTCTTTTCCACACCCTCACTTTAAAACCGGAGGTGTCTTCGGGTTTAAAATGAGTTTCTTGTAGGCAACATATAGATGGGTTTTGGTTTTTTATCCATTCTGATACCCTGTGTCTTTTGATTGGGGCATTTAGCCCATTAACATTCAGGGTAACTATTGAGAGATATGAATTTAGTGCCATTGTATTGCCTGTAAGGTGACTGTTATTGTATATTGTCTCTGTTCCTTTCTGATCTACTACTTTTAAGGTCTCTCTTTGCTTAGAGGACCCCTTTCAATATTTCCTGTAGAGCTGGTTTGGTGTTTGCAAATTCTTTCAGTTTTTGTTTGTCCTGGAAGTTTTTAATCTCTCCTTCTATTTTTAATGATAGCCTAGCTGGATATAGTATTCTTGGCTGCATGTTTTTCTCGTTTAGTGCTCTGAATATATCATTCCAGCTCTTTCTGGCCTACCAGGTCTCTGTGGATAAGTCTGCTGCCAATCTAATATTTTTACCATTGTATGTTACAGACTTCTTTTCCCGGGCTGCTTTCAGGATTTTCTCTTTGTCACTAAGACTTGTAAATTTGACTATTAGGTGATGGGATGTGGACCTATTCTTATTGATTTTGAGGGGGAGTTCTCTGAACCTCCTGGATTTTGATGCTTGTTCCCTTTGCCATATTGGGGAAATTCTCTCCAATAATTCTCTCCAATATACCTTCTGCTCCCCTCTCTCTTCTTCTTCTGGAATCCCAATTATTCTAATGTTGTTTCGTCTTATGGTGTCACTTATCTCGCGAATTCTCCCCTCGTGGTCCAGTAGCTGTTTGTCCCTCTTTTGCTCAGCTTCTTTATTCTCTGTCATCTGGTCTTCTATATTGCTAATTCTTTCTTCTGCCTCATTTATCCTAGCAGTGAGAGCCTCCATTTTTTACTGCACCTCATTAATAGCTTTTTTAATTTCAACTTGGTTAGATTTTAGTTCTTTTATTTCTCCAGAAAGGACTTTTATATCTCCCAAGAGGGTTTCTCTAATATCTTCCATGCCTTTTTCAAGCCCAGCTAGAACCTTGAGAATCATCATTCTGAACTCTAGATCTGACATATTACCAATGTCTGTATTGATTAGGTCCCTAGCCTTTGGTACTGCCTCTTGTTCTTTTTTTTTTTTTTTTGTGGTGAATTTTTCTGCCTTGTCATTTTGTCCAGATAAAAGTATATGAAGGAGCAAGTAAAATACTAAAAGGGTGGCAACAACCCCAGGAAAATATGCTTTAACCAAATCAGAAGAGATCCCAAATCGTGAGGGGGGAGAAAGGGGATAAAAAGAGGTTCAGAAAGAAAAAAAAAAATTAAAAAAAGAAAATAAAGAATATATATATATATATATTAGATAAGCTAGTTTAAAAACGTTAAAAAAAAGAAAAGGGTAAAAGTTAAAAAAATTTGGCAGAAGAAGAGAAAAAAAATTGAAAAAGAAAAAAAAATTAATTTAGCCTTGCTAAAATTTTTTAGCAAGGCTAAAGAATCATGGGGAGAAAGCCATGAGTTCCGTGCTTTGCTTTCTCCTCCTCTGGAATTCAGCTGCTCTCCTTGGTATTGAAACTGTACTCCTTGGTAGGTGAACTTGGTCCTGGCTGGGTTTCTTGTTGACCTTCTGGGGGAGGGGCCTGTTGTAGTGATTCTCAAGTGTCTTTGCCCTAGGTGGAATTGCACCGCCCTTACCAGGGTCCGGACTGAGTAATCCGCTCGGTTTTGCTTTTGGGAGCTTTTGTTCCCTGAGCGCTTTCCGTAGAGTTCCGGAGAACGGGAATGAAGATGGCGGCCTCCCAGTCTCCGGCCCGAAGGAGCCGAGAGCCTGGGGCCCCACTCCTCAGTGCGCCCTCAGAGAACAGCGCCCAATTACTCCCGTCACCCTGGCCTCCGGCCGCACTCCGAACTGACCGAGCCTGCGACCGGTTCAAGGTAACCCCGAGTTTAGAGCTCACTCATCAGCTCTGTCTCTGTAGCCGGCTTCCCCGTTCTAATACCTGCGAGCTCTGCAACACTCAGACACCCCCGATCCTTCTGTGACCCTGCGGGACCTGAGGCCACGCTGACCCTGTGTGGGCTTCACCCCAGTTAAGCCTCTGGAGCGATGTCCCTCAGCGGAACAGACTTTGAAAAGTCCTGATTTTGTGCTCCGTTGCTCCGCCGCTTGCCGGGAGCCGGCCCCTCCCCCTGCGGTCTATCTTCCCGTCGCTTTGGATTCACTTCTCCGCCAGTCCTACCTTTCAGAAAGTGGTTGATTTTCTGTTTCTAGAATTGCTGTTCTTCTTCTGTTCAATCTCCCGTTGGATTTGTAGGTGTTTGCAATCTTTAGATAAGCTATCTAGCCGATCTCCCGCTACCTGAAGTAGTCTCAGCCTGCTACTTCTCCGCCATCTTGACTCCTCCCTGACCTTCTAATTAACCAATCAGAAGACAAGCATGATATGTCCCTTTCACTCTCCTAACCTCTCCTCAGAGACCCAAGGATTGGGGGCATCCCCAAGGATTTGGAGGACATCAACAGGTGTAGTTTGCATTTTATTTCTCCTGCCAAACCAGGGACAGGCAGCATGATATAATATGTATAAAGTATCTAGCTCACTTCTCAGCAATAAAATATGTCTAACAATTGTCAGTTCTCTCGGCCAAAGGTGTCTAGAAGGGACATTCCCAAACTCCAGTCACACAGGAGTAGCAGGAAAAGAGTTGCCCTAAAGAGTGTACTTGAAACCTATGCATTCCATATGGACAGGCAAGGCAGTTGGGGAAAATGAACCCTAGGTCATAACTCCCACCTCAACATCAAGGCTCTGGGTGAGGTTCTATGTCTCACTCTACAACTCCTCCCATCCCCTGCCAAAGATTACAGAATTTCTTTCAGGTGCAGGCCTTATGAGTCTACTTCCAGGACCTCTGAGCAGCAACTCGTGGCTTATCAGAGTAGACCTACAGGTCTGCATATAGGCATTGCCAACCTAATGTAACCTGATGAAATTAAAAACAAGCAAACGAAAAACACACACACACACAAAAACCAGATGAGGGTAAGGAGAAAAAATGTGATAGAGCTCTCACACTGAACAAGAAGTAATTTTTCTCCCCCCAGGGACATCTAGGTGGCTCAGTCAGTGAAATGTCCGACTCTTAATTTCATGTCAGGTCTTGATCTCAGGGTCATGGGTTTGGGCCCTGCACTGGGCTCCATGCTGGGCACAAAGCCTACTTAAAAAAAAATTTTTTTTCCAAAAATCAGCCTAAATCTACCTCTGTCACAGGCATGCATTGGGGTTGTTTCAAGTTGCCTCAACTCCAAGATGCTCACCTTCCTCCACAGATCACTACCAGCTGCAAATGAGGCATTTCAAGGGGCTCTTTCAAAAAGCCTAGAGTCCTCTTCCTTCTTGTTCTAACTCAGACAAAATATGGAGGAATAAGTCCATACCTCCGGCTCTTGCACAACCTTCCTTCCTCTGTCAGCGCCAAGGAGGCAAGCATCCATTTCTAGTTAATTACACCTACTCAGAATGAAAGTACCACTCAAGTGTGCAACCCTGTCAACTTAAAACAGCTGCTACTGGGCACCACCCTTAGCTGATCTGTTTTGATTAGAGTAGACCCCATACCTCTCTCCTCCCTGGAAACTTTTACCAGGTAGTACTAGATCTTCAATGACTCAGTGCCTCAGACAAGAAACATCTGTGCTTCAAATTTCAGAATAAGTAGGAGTTAACCTGGGACCTAGGCACGAGAAAGGGTCTTGCCACAATGGTGTTTATAGCAGATTCTGTGAACTGCTGGTCTTCCTTGCTAATAAAACTCTGACTTGGGGTGTGGGGAGAGGAACGTGTGACAGTGTACCCAGCTCCAGAGTGTAGCTCACGCTGGGTCTAAGGGTCTAAGCCAGTCCTAAAATCCCGCACGCTGCTTTCGCAGCCAGTCCCAGCTAATGAGATGTCAGGCAAAGACTGCTAAGGAGTTTCTGGGGTAACTGATGCTTTCTTGTAAAATGCAACAGATGTATCTGGCTCTACACTTCTTCTGACCTTGAACATGAGTGATCTCTGAAGCCACATCTTGTGTCTGTGAAGAAAGGAGGCCTAATGACAGAACTGAAGAAGGAACAGCTGAGACCGAGTCAAGCTGCTGACCTCACACCAGCAGCCTCGGACTGCCAGGCTTGCTCAGTATCAGGTGAGAAAAGTAAGGCCGTGCTGGCTTCAGCCGGTATATGCCCAGTTATCAAGAAATGCCCATGCACGCACTCTGGGATGAGTGTGCCCTCTGGGATCCTCTAACGTCTTTGCTAGGTCTCCGTTCGGGTAGCAGGACTTGATGAGCAGACTCCCATCCTCTGTGCCATCAGAGGCACAGAGAAATACCAGACGGTTGCCGTTTCTCATCACTTACCTCCTCCCAAGGCTGAGAACAGAACTTTTCCATAGTGTCCGTCATCTTTTCCTGTGAGGGGGTTTCCTCTGATGTAAAGTTTAAAAATTCCATGACATAGTAATAAGCCGAAAATGCCTGCAAGAAAAAATGCAGTTTTGCACTGTGTCCAACACAGAGGGACACTGATTCACACTCCAGAAGGGTGAACCCCTGGCGAAGGTGCCTGGAAACCTCTGTTGAGTACATTAATGAATCAAGTAATATTCCAGACCCAAAAGTTGTTTCGTTCCTAGAAGAGGTGTTACTTTGGGACTTTGTTGTCGCTTCACTGAGCCACCTGGTAACTAACTGTCTCTATAACTTTAATGGAAGAGTCAGGAAGAAAGAAAAATGAGGGGAGAAAAAAAAGAAAGGTTAAAAAAAAATCCCATCTTTTAAAAACTGTATTATATAGGAACTTTTAACAAATAAAAACTGGGAACGTCTATACAAAGATACTAAGAGTTGTCTCTGAATGGCAATTGTAAGGTGTTTTTTCCTTTTTATTTCTGCTTTTTTGGCCTATTTCTAAAATGTCCATGTACTTCTTTCTTTAAATAGTCAACCTTTATTTAACATATATTTATGGAAGTCTATCATGGACTAAGCATAATTGAAAGGTTTTTTAAAATCATGATCATACGTGAGAACTACGGAAAAGAGTACAAATGAGTAGAAAGGAAAATACTCAATTAAAATTCACAGGATAGGTGCTAGGAAGCGTTTTCTACAATACTGAATTCCATGTCTTCCCTTTCCACTCCTTTTCCTCACCCTTCAGTAGAATTTTTGTCCCCCTCCTCCACTAACCTACCCACTCCAATGGCCACTTAAAAACAAAGTAGATCGGGGTGCCTGGGTGGCTCAGTGGGTTAAGTCTCTCCCTTCGGCTCAGGTCATGATCTCAGGGTCCTGGGATTGAGCCCCACATGGGGCTCTCTGCTGGGCAGGGAGCCTGCTTCCCCCTCTCTCTGTGCCTGCCTCTCTGTCTACTTGTGCTCTCTCTGTTAAATAAATAAATAAATCTTAAAAAAAAAAAAGATTTAAAAAAAAGTGGATCACATTACTCCTCGACTTAAAGCCTTCAATGACTCCTAAATATACGTAGAATAAAGTCCAAACTCTACCAGTTCTCTCAAAGCCAGGCAAGCTCCAACCCTTCCCACTTTGCCAATACCACCTCCTACCACTGCCACCTGCACACGCGACCCCCCAGGCCTTCCAGTCACTGCCGAGCTTTGCCTCCCTGCGGTGGCACACCTGCTCTTCCCGCTGTAGGGATTCCCTTCACCTTGACTCATGTTTCCTAATCATCCCCCTGGACTAGGACAGTGTCTTATTCCCTTTCACGGGACTCTGCTGCTTTCTTCCCTGTGGTTGCCACAGTCTAATTTGCTTTTGTTTGTGTTTCTGGTCTTCCATCTGCTTGCCCTCTAGAAGGCCAGTGCCACGATAGCAGCTGGATCTGCTTGCACCGGCATGGCACCTGGCACACCGGGGGGGGGGGGGGGAGCGCTAAAGATGTGTAAGTGGCAGGAAACCGCTCTCGAATTCCTAGAGCACGGCCTTGAAGGTAAGAGACGCTGAGTGGATCTCTGTTGACTGAGAAACTGGATAAAACCAGAGACTGGATAGCTCCAGTATACATAGCCAATGCCCAGAAAAGTTTCCCCCTATTAATTAAAACTACTCGAGTATTTTTCTCTAGTGAACTGACTGTGGGGCAGAAAGGAGAGGAGGACTTTTTAGGGTGTACTTTTAAATGTTTTATTTTTGTTGTGTAAGAGCATTTAACATGAGATCTACCCTCTTAAATTTTTAAATGTGCAATACAGTATTGTTAACTATATATAAGGACAAGATTGTATGGCCAATCTCTAGAACTAAATCATCTAGAGTAACTGAAACTTTATACCTGTTAATGAGCAATTCCCCACTCCTCCTGTCCTTAGCCACCATTCTATTCACTGAACACATGGAGTGTCTTTGCATTTGTCTTTAACTTCTTTCATCGGTGTTTTGTAGTTTTCAGTGTACAAGTCTTTCTCCTCCGTAGTTAAGGTTATTACTAAATATTTTATTCCTTTTGAGGTTTTTGCAAATGAGATTGTTTTCCTTTCAGATAGTTCCTTGTTACTGTATAGAAAAGCAACTGGTTTTTGGATGTTGATTTTGTACCCTGCAACTTTACTGAATTCATTTATTCTAATGGGTTTCTTATTTTTCTTTTTTTAATTGAAGTATAGTTGACACACTATTTTACATCAGTTATAGGTATACAACAGTGATTCAGTGTGTCTGTATATTATGTTAGGCCCGCCACAAGTGTAGCTCCCATCCGTCACCGTACAACACTAACACAATACTATTGACTAGATTCCCTATGCTGTACTTTTGTCCCTGTGACTTACTCATTCCATAACTAGAAGCCTGTATCTCCCATCCTCCTTCAGCCATTTTGCCCATCCCCCGCCCTCCCTCCCCTCTCACAAACACCAGTTTGTTTTCTGTATTGATGAGCCAAACAGGTTTCTTTTGCTGTGTGTGTAGACTTTAGGGTTTTCTTTATGTACAATCTTGTCATCTGTAAACAGAGACAATTTTTACTTCTTTCTTTCCGATGTGGATTCCTTTTATTTCTTCTTGCCTAACGGTTCTGGTGAGTTCTTCCAGTACTGTGCTGAATAGAAATGGTGAGATTGGGCACCCATACCTGGCTCTTGATCTCAGAGGAAAAGCTTACAGTTCTTACCACTGAGGATGATGTTGGCTGTGTGGGATTATACCCGGCTTTTATTGTACTGATGCAATTTCTTTCTGTTTCTACTTTGTCGAAACTTTTTATCATAAATGAGTGTTCGACTTTATCAGATGTTTTTTCTGCATCTATGGAGGTGTGTAGTTTTCATCCTTCATTCTGTTAATGTGCTGTATCACACTAATTGATTTTTATGTATGGAGCCATCATGGCATCTCAGGGATAAATCCCACTTAGTCATGGTATATTATTCTTTTAATGGACTATTGAATTCAGCTTGCCAGTGTTTTGTTGAAGATTTTGGTTATTCCAAAGTGTGTTCTTTCATTTCCACATACTTGTGAATTTTCTGGTTTCCTTCTGCTATTGACTTCTGGGTTCATTCAACTGTGTAGAAATGATACCTGGTATAATTTCTGTCTTCTTACATTTGTGAGACTTGTTTTATGACCTAAGATGTGACCTGTCTTAGAGAATATTCCATGTGCACTTCAGAAGTTTATATATTCTGCTGTTCTTGGGTGGAATGTTCTGTATGTGTCTGTTAGGTCTATTTGGTTTATAGTGTGGTTCGAATCTGTGATTGTTCTATCCTGTATTGACAGTGAGGCACTGAAATCTCCTACCATTATGGCATTGCTGTCTCTTCCTCCCAGCAGTTCTGTCAATGTTTGCTTCAAAGATTCAGGTGCTCTGATTTGGGCATATATACTTATAATTAATGTATCTTCTGGATGAATTATCCCTTTATCATTCTATAATGTCCTTCTTAGCCTCATGTGACATTTCATAACTTACAGCATATTTCGTCTGATATAAATGTGACCACCCTTGTTTCTTTTGGTTGGAACATGCATGGAATATCTTCCATCACTTCACTTTTGGCCCATGTGAGTTCCTTAAATCTAAAGTAAGTTTCTTATGTGACATATAGTTGGATCTTTAAACTTTTTGTATAGTTCAATTTTTTTTATAACAAGCATGTCTTAAATTTTATAATAAATATTTCCTTAAATTTCATTTAGGGACATTTCAAAAGACTTTTTGATATTACTCCTTGAGCTCATTCTACCAGCAAAGGGCTTAATGACTTAAGAATCTAGAAATTCACTTGCTTTTGCTAAGGTGTGACATGTGTTTTTTAAAGAAGTAAAAATTATTTTAAAAAACTTTAACAAACAGGGGCACCTGGGTGACTTAGTTAAACATATGCCTTCAGCTCAGGTCATGATCTCAGGGTCCTGGGATGGAGCCCCACATCGGGTTCTCCACTTAGTGGCATATCTGCTTCTCCCTCTCCCTCTGTGATCGCTCTTAAATAAATAAAATCTTTAACAAAAAATTAAGAGAAAATTTGTGTAGGCAGATACAGCAAAATACTGGACTGTCAGTGGGATACATAGCTTGTCAGCACGAATTCCTGGTCTATGCCACTGCCTGCCCCAAAACACTGCATGCCGTGGACTCTTGAAAATTCTTCCCTGACCTACAGATGTTTCCCTTTAACATCTCTGAATCCTGCTCTTCTTTATTTTTCAACATATAAAAATTGCCCTCTTCTTTTCCTTCAAAATACATGTGTTAAAAATTCTTATTCAAAGGTAACACATGTTTATTGTATAGAATTTAATTAGTACAAGTTAAAAATAAAAGTTACTCCTTCATCTAAACATCCCCTAGAGAAAAATACTTTTAATAATTTACTGCTTAATCCCTGCATCTATATATATGTAAAACATTAACATATATATATATATATATTTACCTAAATATCATATTACACACATTGTTTTATAATCCTGCTTGGTTTCACTTGATAATAATACAATATGGGCAAGTTTCCCTGCAGATTTTAGTTTACCCATTTAAATGACTATAAAATATTATTTATGGATATATCATGATTTATGTAATCTCCTATACATGAATATTTAGGCTTTCTAATATTTCACTATTATAAATAATGCTACAATGTATTTGCATCTTTGTACCTTTCTTGAGATATTTTCCTTGAGGTAAAATGTTTGGTCAGAAGGCAAATATATTTTGCGAGTAGAAATATGCACTAAAAGACATGAACAAGAGTGTTCATAAAACAGTACATAATATCCTCAAACTGGAAACAACTAAAATGTCCATTAACTATAGAATGGATAGATAAATTTTAGTGTGTCCATGCAAAGGAATACTCCATTGCAATGAAGGAAAGGGCTACTGTTAAACACGACAACATACGTAAACCTTAGATAATACTGAGTGACAGAAATCAGACAAAAAAAGAATACATATTTTGAATCCCAAAACTAGCAACATGAATCTATCATGATAGAAGTCGGAG